GCCTACACACAGCAGGAATCATAGAAACATAGAATCATGGAGTTGGAAGGGGCCTATGAGACCATCAAGTACAACCCCCTGCACAATGCAGGACTCCAAATCAAAGCAGATCGTTGTCCAATTGTCTCTTGAATGCCTCAAGTGTTGGAGTGCTCACCACCTACTGCGGTAAATGGTTCCATTGTCGTACTGCTCTAACAGTTAAGAGGGTTTCCCCCTCCCCTCTGATTTTCAGCCTAGATCTAGCTTCCTATAGCTTCAGCATGTTATTATGTGTCATATACTCTGGGATGATTGAGAAGAGATCCTGGCCCTCCTCTATATTGTTGTTGGGTTTTTTGTCAAATAGGCTGATAAATGTTTCATTGAACAGTGTTACAAGGGGTATAAGCATTTTATGAGAATGTCTAGCCCTGAAAATCCTTAGGAACTGGCCCATTCTCATTGCATGAGGGCATTTATCTTGCATTCTTTGCTTATGAGAACTGTTACGAGCTATGAAAAAAAATGTGATGGCCCATTTCTAGCGAAATGCAACTCTCCAAGACACGCACACTTTGCTACAGACAAAGAGTAGTCGTGAACATTTGTCGGTCACTACCAGAATATCCTGGTTCTTGATCAAGGTGTGCCAGTCTTCAGGGAGGGAATAAGCTCTGCCTGACAGAAGGAGATGTAGAAGACTTCCTTGTCCAAGGTACCAGAACAGCAGCACTCATCCAACTGCTAAGAGAACTGCTGAACCTAATAAAGGATGTGAAACCACCACTGAGAAAACTCATTAAAATGTGTTAAATGTCAAATAACTACCAAAAATGCAATGATTCTAAACTCAGCTTTCAAGATCTGATTAGATGGACATGCTTCCTTAATATAACGTCTCACTTCTCTAATATGTAGATAATTTTAAAGAGTTTTAGGAGGAGGAGTAGAGTTATATCATCAATTCCTTCAAAGAATTGGTTCTTTCTTAAAGGACTTTGCATGCAGGACACGCAACAATGGGCTCACGTTAAAGGAAGCCAGATTTGGGTTGAATATCAGGAAAAACTTCCTAACCGTTAGAGCAGTACGACAGTGGAGCCAGTTACCTCGGGAGTTGGTGAGTGCTCCAAGACTGGAGGCATTCAAGAAAAAGTTAGATTATCACCTGGCAGATATGCTTTGATTGTATTCCTGCATTAAGCAGGAGGTTGGACTTGATGGCCTTATGGGCCCCTTCCAACTTCACTTTTCTATGATTTATATTAAGAAACCTGGAGGAACCCAATAGTCCAGGGAACCTCTTAAAAGTTGGAGACAAAGACTACAAGTGTGCCCATTTTAGTTTCTGGGCTGTTTCTTGCAGAATCCCTGGAACTGAAATCCAGATATCTGAAAGAGTTCACCCCAGCAGCTATAAAAGCAGTAGTGAACTCCTCAGTGAGCCAATGGGACTCTAACTGCAACCAGCTGCCTTTCAAAAGTAACCCCCAAATGTCTGTCTTGCCCTGACCAAAAGAAGTGATGCCCAGTCAGAGTCTTAGGTAAGTAACTGTAGTTGAAACACCTTGGAAAGCTCCAGGGATGTTGGTAAGTCTTTGGACCCATATCCCAAGTACCAAGACTTGAGTTAAGCCCAAGACCTCAAGTCTGAGTCCCAATCTCTGGAGGCTCCCCATGTGGACTGAAACCTTGGAAAATTCAAGGATCTCGCCCACATGGAAATGAACACGAATGACAGCAGTCTAGATGGTCTACAGGACACCCTCTTGTGCTCACAACCATTCAGAAAATGACATCATGGAGGAGAAAATCCCAGAAGCTGACTCCCTTTTTACCTCTGTAAACCACTACTCCCTGAAACACAATGCAATTGTCTGGGCTGTATTTCAACAAGTGTGGATTGTAGTGAGCAGAAGAGGGAATCTTTTAGACTCTCTTGACTCCTGACATTAGTGTTCTCACTATTCAGGTTGGCCTTTGATATTGCTCTTGAAACGTCTCCTTGCTCTAGGCAGGAAGGTGCAGCAATGTATCTATTTTGGAATGCTCTTGCTTAGCTTGTTCCATGCATGCTCAGTTTACAAGAAAACTCAGTTTTTCCTTCCTTCCTTCCTTCCTTCCTTCCTTCCTTCCTTCCTTCCTTCCTTCCTTCCTTCCTTCCTTCCTTCCTTCCTTCCTTCCTTCCTCTCCCTCCCTCCCTCCCTCTCTTAAATTTTTATATCACCCATTGACTGATGGCCATTCTAATTGCTTCACAAGAAATATCTTTTTTGAAGAATAATATTTTAGTCCCCGAAGACTGGATTCATTCCAAATTTTTTTAAAAGTGGGTAGGGCCAACCATTCTCTTTCAGGATAAGAAGATTGGTTTTTTTCCCCAATTTATTTGTTGTGTGGATGTTTCAGGTCACTTGTTTCTGCATGGGGAAAGTGTTTTACTTTTTTAAAAATCACAACTTCAAAAACTCTTTGCTGAAGCACCCCCAAATCCTATACAGAGCAAGAGTAGACTGTCTGTTATATATGCACAAAATCTGGTGCTGAAACAGAGTCCATTTTCAAAGTTCTAATTTTTTTGTATGGGGTGCCCCCATTTTTAGAATTGCCATCTAGCAGGTTGTTTTGCTGTGTTGCACATTAACATCACTGCACTCTTGTACAGTGATAATAAAAGGCTTGTTCCAGATTTAATCTGGGTCAGTATTTTAGTCATGTTGAGATATACTCAGGTCCTATCCTGAAGACACCTATATGTCAGGAACAGGAGGCTCAAAAGGAGAACAAGCTAGAAGAAAGGGTAGGAAAAAGGCTCAGATAGAGGTCTGGCTCCCATATAAGGCAAGAAATGTTAGTTGCCTGGAAAATGGGATGCTGGGAACAACTTCATGATGCTGACACAGCTACTTTGAGCCCAAAACAATGGGCCAGTATGGAGATAGATACTGTACATGATGCATGATAGACCCCTGGAAAAGTTGTTACCCCATGAGCCTGGGATGTTCCTTATACAGAGATACAGTGCCTATGATTATGTCACCCCCTAAAAACAATAGAGAATGGTTTCCATAGGTTTTGACCCCAATATGTTCACCAATGAAGAACCACCTTGTGGTTAGCAACTGGGAAAGAAGAGAAAGAAGTCAAACTTCAGGGAAACTTTAGGGGTGTCAATAGAACAAAAAGCCACTGGACCTTGAGAGAAGGACTGTTTCCTCCCCTCAGTCTCTTCCCCAAAATATTGGTTCCTGAGCCCCTTCCCTTTGAAAAGAGAAGAATTTCTCTCTCACTAACTCATCCGTCTCCTAACTAGCCTCTCTATTGAACCTCTCCAGGGTCTCCCATCTGGATTTTTAGGAGGAGGTCCTGCTGAACTCACCTGCTTGGACCTATAGGGCCGAACCCTTCACATGTTTGTGCTGAATCTGTTCTAATCATGTTTTTGATTTGCCAGCTTTGTTGAGATATCATTCGGGACTTTTGGGTCTGCTTATTAGAGTCAAGGAAAAGTGTGAAGACAAGAGGAGAAGGGGACGACAGAGGACGAGATGGATGGATAGTGTCATCGAAGCGACCAACATGAATCTGACACAACTCCGGGAGGCAGTGGAAGACAGGAGGGCCTGGTGTGCTCTGGTCCATGGGGTCACGAAGAGTCGGACATGACTAAATGACTAAACAACAATTAGAGTCAGGGCTGGAGAGAGCTTTAGTTGGTGCTAGACAATACTTCAAGCGATCACTCATTTCATAGGCCTTGATTCTGTATGCCACAGATTTCATTTTAAAAAAAGTTAATTTAGTTTGTTTGGGACTCTATTATTCAAGCAGTTTTAGTGAAAATGTAATCATAGACTGATTTGCATGGGAAGATTCCTGTATGGAACAACAGGGTATGATTCTGTGACTGTTATCATTTTTCTTCATGAAATGTTGCCGATTTTCTACATGAAAATGTTTGATCCTTTTTGAATTAACAAAAGGCATTCTTTTCTCTCTGTTCTTTGTTTAAACTTAAATAACTCTTCCCTTCAATTATACCTGCAAATGGCCCAGTGTCATTTCTGGTTATCTCATTTTCAATGAGCATAACAGTTTTAAACTTGAATGGGAGATACAGTGGATCCTCTACTTACGGAATTAATCCGTATTGGAACGGTGGCTGCAGGTCGAAAAGTCTGTAGGTCAAGTCTCCATTGACCTACAATGCATTGAGAACCAATTAATCTGTAACTGGCTGTTTTTGTTCCGTTTTTGTTCCATTTTGGTTTTTTTCTGATCTGTAGGTCGATTCTCCGGTTGCAAGTCGAACCTAAATTTTGTGGCCAGAGAAGTCTGTGACTCGAAAAGTCTGTAAGTTGAGCCGTCTGTAAGTCGAGGGCCCACTGTAAAATGATTGCAATCTTTATGCTACAAGTACAGAATTACTGTTCTATCATATATCCTGGAGTAGAAGCCCTATCAATGAGTATGACCACTGGCAAAGGATTATAAAACATCTAGAAGCCTAATAGTTCCATTTCTTCATTTACACCATGGGGTCCAGAACCACACCTTTGAAATGAGTTCTTTTCCGGTAGTTTGTTTTCCAAAGCTCCATCCCCTAAATGGACCCCTCTCCCCCTCTGTCCCTGGCTGTCCCGGAGAGGAAGACTTAGTTGAGATGTAATAAACATATTTTCTTCTGCAATATCACATAGAAACTATAATTTCAAGCAATCGAGTACTTCCCCTACAATTATCAAATTAGCTGTGATATCGCTAGTTTCTCAAATCCCACAGAAACAAAAGGACACACCAGCAAAACAAGTCACAAGATAGAAACGTGCTATTATAATCCTATATTTCTGAGTCAGAGGCAGCAAGATCCCTCACTCTTCTTCTTGTAGCATCTGAGCCATAGGTCAACCGGCACTGCGACCATTTCAATTCAAGTGTGCTATCAGCACACAACTTATTCACCAATGATATGGGGAGAGGTGAATCGGTGTAGCAAGTGGTTCATTTTGTGTGAAATAATGGGATTTGGAATATTGGTACTTCTGGTCCAGGCAGCATGCAAGATTCCTAATATTAAATGCAACATCAATGAACCTCCTCCAATTCTACATAAATACTACCAATCAGGAGATCTCAACATAGGCGGTATTATGTCTCAAATCTACATATTTTCAAAACTGATAAACTTTGAGCAACGTCCCTCTGATGGCCTCTTTGACGATATCCTGTACGCATCTTTTTTTAAACATGCAATTTAAAAAATGCATTTTTGCAATTTGCTGCAAAAATATGTACATAATTTTTGTAGATATACATCTTCCATGGACTGGTATTCTTTTCAGAGTATGATTGATGAATGCATTGTGCATCTTTCTTTGCCAAACTCCATCCTACTCCTAAAAATACCTCCGCTTCCTCTTCCACTTCTTTTCCTTTTAGATACACCAAGGAAGGTTCCAGTATTTCATGCCTTAATTTGTAAAAGAAAGCTTAATTGTGTAATGTAGCAATGAACTCTATTTTCAGGAGCATGACTCATCTTTACCAGCATATCCTGGCCTTCGTGTTTGCTGTAAAGGAGATAAATGGAAATCCCAGGCTTCTCCCCAACATTACCCTAGGGTTCCAGATTTACAACAGCCTTTTCACTCCAAGTGGGAGCTACGATGCCTCTTTGGAACTCATCTCTGCACAGGGCAGGTTCGTTCCTAATTACAGATGTGCCGTGCAGAACAGCCCAATAGCAGTCATTGCAGGGCCCAACTCAGAAATCTGTCTCCACATGGCGACCATCCTGTGCATTTACAAGATTCCACAGGTATGAAGTGTGAACGGGCATAGGAGTTTAAGGAATCATTCTCATATCCTTTTCCTTGTTAGAGTATAGTAGGAAACTCTGTTCCTGCAGCTACGCTAAATTGCTCCCTCCTACTGGGACCAACCAGAAAGCCTGATTTAGTAAGTCTTGAAAAAGCACCAGTCTACAGATTTCTAGGTACAAAATTCCAGTCCCACTTTCATTCCACATCCACATCCAAGTTCTGGTTGCTGTCCATTGTTGTGACTGTTTGCCCAGTCTCCATCTTTGCTAAAACAAGAGTAACTCTACAGGACCAGTGTGTTTTCAGAGAGGACATTACTCACATAGACTTGTAGCATGCAGCAGCAAAGATGGAGGTCTGTCAAGTCGCAACAACAACGAGGAAAAGGGAGAAGTGAGGAATGAAGAAGGGCTAAGGAAGGAGGGGAGCGAAGGAAAGACTTGGCCAAAATGAAGAAGCACAACTGTAATGTCTTGCTAAGATCTTAGCCTTGTAATTTTGGATAAAATACTCCGAGTGCCTCTGCCCTCATTAGAGATTCCTTGTTTAAATTTCCTAGGTAGGCATATTGATGGTTATATGTTTCTCTTAATTTCATCTTATATCATGTGACTGTTGTGATGTTTTGAATGCTTTTATATCCTTAAATGCCGTTGGCTAACTTAGAACTTCTTTTTAAATTTAATGTCATAAAAGAAGAAGAGGGTGCATTGATGGTAACATGTCTTTGATGTTATGTGACTTTATCTAAATAATGTGTTTTTATCTTCCTGTTCACTGACTGTAATAAACTACTGTATTCTTTTTATTATGGAAAAGATATTGCTTAATTATTATTTGAAATGAAGAGCAGTTAGAAACGTTTCAGTTCTCAAAGTTGCCTCTGTCCCTCCATTCATATTTGTTAATGTGTTTTTAGCTAATCTATGGCACCATTCCAACAGATTCAAGGGCTCAAGTTGTTTTCTCCTACCAGATGTTCCCCAATGCAGACCATGAGTTTAAGGGCATTCTTCAGTTGCTGCTTCATTTCAGATGGACTTGGATTGGAGTGGTGACCGTCAATGATGACAATGCAGAGACATTTCTACAGAACATTGTCCCCATGTATGCTCAAGAAGGTATCTGCTTTGATTTCCTAGAAAGATTCCCAACAATTTCTTTCTCCCATGACATTGCCGAGACGGTGGAATGGGGGATTGACACACACCGTGTCATCATGGAAAGCACAACGAATGTTGTGGTAGTTGTGGGTGAAATTGAGACCATGATACTTTTAAATATGTTTCATATGTTCTCAAGATATGAGCATATATCAATGGAGACAAAAGGTAAAGTCTGGATCCTGACCGCTCAGATGGATTTCACATCGCTGTCCTTCCAGAGAAATTGGGGCGTAGATTTCCTACATGGTGCTCTGTCATTGGCCGTTCGATCCAAGGAAGTCTTGGGATTTCGTAGCTTTCTGCAGACCAGGAGTCCCCTCTTGGAAAAAGAAGATGGCTTTATCAAGGATTTCTGGCAAGAGGCTTTTAACTGTTCCTTCCCTGATCCCGCCATAGCTGTGGTGGGCGAGGAGACATGCACTGGAGAGGAGAAGCTAGAGACTCTTCCTACCTCTGTTTTTGAAATGAGCATGACCGGTCACAGCTACAGCATCTACACAGCCATCTATGCTGTCGCACAGGCTCTGCATAAGATGCAGACATCTAAATTCAAACACAAAACAATAGCGGAGGAAGGAATGCTGGACCTTCTGTCTCAAGAGCCGTGGGAGGTAATTCTCCTACCTGGGAAACAGATTTCCTTTTCTGCATCAAATTTAGGAGCATTTCCTTTGTTTGTGGGAGCATAAAGGGAATCAAAGGCCTTTCTAAACACTCCCAGCCATTTTTCTAATGATGAGCAAGCTGTTATGCTCAGGTAACGTTACCCAAATGCCACCAAAATCAGGATTCCGACTCACTTGAAATGCCACCTTGGGGCCACAGCCTCACTCCCTTCAGACCGGGGAGGTTAGCATGTCTTTGGTACCAAATCCTGAGTCCCAAGCCCCAATTCTGTGTCTCCATTTAAAAATAAACCTTTCCTCCCCAGAATGAAAGGGAGGAGTGGGTGGGTTCTGATTCACCGGTCAAGTCCAAGTCATGGGGTGGAACAAGTTGAGACACCAATGCCATTTAAGTCCAACTTGACAGCAGGTTCCATGACTCACGTCCCCATTCCTGCTTCAGACCATTGTTTTTCTGTCGAGAAAGAGATAAAAGAAGTGTGTAAGGGTATCATACTCCTCTAATTGTAAAGCTTTCCCCACCCCAGTTCCCACCACCTATTAGCAACCAATGTGACAATCGCAGTTATCCAACTCAGACTCAATGGAATCAAAAAAGTTATTGTTTCCTCTGTTGGAGTCTAGTGGTGAGATTCAGACCCATATTTGATTATTATCATTAAATGTTTTTTTAAATTCATAGTACAGTGGTGCCTTGCTAGACGCTTACCCTGCATGACGTCAAAATTGCTTGACGATGACTTTTTTGCAATCGCTAGTGCGATCACAAAATGATGGTTCCTATGCGGGAAATCCGCTTTGCGTTGATTAGGTCCCTGCTTCGTGAACCGTTTGTTCACAAAACAATGTTTTTCCCGGCGCCGCAATATGGCTTCCCTCCCTTCACAAAATGGCTGTTTTCTGGATCCCTGCTTTGGAAGACAGCGACTTTAAACAGCTGATCGTCAGTTCTCTATGGGCGCTTTTTGCTGGACAATGAGGAATTTCCCCATTGGAATACATTAACCGGTTTTCAATGCATTCCAATGGGTTTTTTTCACTTGACAATGATTTCGCTTAACAGCGATTTTCCTGGAACGGATTATCATCGTCAAGCGGGGCATCACTGTATTCTTTCGGGTTAGCTTCTGAGAGCAAGACTGGGAGGCTTGGTGGTTTCAGATGAGAGAAAGTGGGGACTTGGTCTATATTCTTTGGTCCATGGGATTCTTCCATATTTCTCAAGCAAATATTCTTCTATAAATCACAATATATTGCTCTCTTTTGATGGTCCAATCCAGCTCCACCATTTGCTGAAGGGTCTCTCATTTAATAACACGGTTGGGCAAGAGGTTTCTTTCAATCAAAACGGAGAGTTGAAAACTGGAGTTGACATCATCAACTGGGTCACATTTTCAAACCAATCTTTTCTTAGAGTGAGAGTCGGAGAGATAGACCCCACGGCTTCCGAAGGCGAAAAGTTCACTATTTCTGAAGGTGCTATTCTGTGGCCAAGCAGGTTTAACCAGGTAGGGTCCAGAGACATTTTGGGAGTAGAACTTGGGAGTCATTTCGACCACTGCTTAGCAAGGGAAGGATTCAATGAAATGAGCTCTGTCCCTAGCTATCTTCAGGAAAGAGAAGAGGAAGACACCAAAAGAATCAAAGGTAGGAGGCTCATAATATTGATAATCCAAAGTATGCCTATAATGTTGAAACCTGATGAATAGTTTTAACTCTTTTGAATGTGTGTAGATAATCTGTGCATACTGGAACCTGAAAATGAAAGGGTCCTAATGATAAGGATATAGTTTCTTATCTCCACCTTTGTGTTCACATATTCTGTTCAGTAAGTGACCATCAGAGTGGGTGAGAACCAGCAGACCATAGCCTTCCTGGCATCCATGTATTTTGTGTACTGATAGAGGCACCTAGGAAACAGATCTCTTTTCTACGTAACGTAGGTGACACCCACTGCAATCATTGCCTGCATCAAATCTTCACCCAGTGAACTTTGAAGCTATCCTTAAAGTTTGGTCTCTCTGTGTAATTACTTATTAGAAAGCTGAGTACGGATTCAAATCCTGTTCTCTGGAGTCCTAGTCCATCACTCTATCCACTACACCCCACTGGGAATAAAAATGTGTCTGTTTGACGTCCATCCCCAAGGATGGATATTTGGTATAAGGTAGCAGACGTATATACCTGCACAGGTATGCAGGTATATAGGTTCCTCCTCCTCCTTACCAAAGAAGTCCTGAGAATATTGTCCTCAGTGAGACTCCTCTTTCTATTTCATTTGTTTGTTGAGCTGCCCATCATAATCCTTCCTGTAATGCCATGGTCCCCAACCTTGGCCCTCCAGATGTTCTTGGACTACAACTCCCAGAAGCCTTCACCACCACCTCTTTTGGCCAGGATTTCTGGGAGTTGAAGCCCAAGAACATCTGGAGGCCCAAGGTTGAGGACCACGGCTGTAATGGATCAGGTGGTTAGATGATGGTGTAGAGGAAGGATTGCATGAGGAGGTCAGAAAGGTGGCTTCTAGCTCCAGTTGGCTACCTTGAATGGGGAACAGAGCTGTAAAGCTATGAATCTGCAAAATATGACATATTCTCATATTTTATTTATGGACAGGCACAACCCTTTTCTCTTTGTAACGCCCAGTGCCATGTGGGGTCCAGAAAGGCCAAGAAAAAAGGAAAGCCATTTTGCTGCTATGATTGCGTTCCATGTCCACAAGGCAAAATTTCCAGCGAAATGGGTGTGTTATATACAATGTAATTAATCAGATATCTTAGCATGTGGAGTCCATTTAATATCCCGGTATTATAGGTGCAGGAGGGTACCGCTATGATATTGTGGCTGAACAAATCAATCTTCTGTAAGGCAATTCTAAAAAAAAATGAGGTGGTGCAAACAAAGAATTACAGTATAAGTTTTAAACTTGGCCTCAGATCAGCACCAAATTGGGCACAATTATGGCAGACAGCCTGCCCTTTCTCTGTGTTAGTAAGCTGGCACAATGGGTTTCCAAGTTGTGCTTTTTTAGAAGTAAAAATCTGTCCCCCACCATTCAGAAATAAGCAACTCCAAATGACCCTAGATTGAGAATGGCTCACACAAATGGAACAGATCAGTCTTGCTTAGCTTGAAAGAGAATTTACAAATGTATTCTACAGCCAAAGGCCCGATAAGAGAATTGTTGGGCCACCCACTTTTCTCTATTTGGAAAGAATCCAGGCTGAAATATTGGTCTTCAGAAAAGGCCTTTCAAATGGGAGAAACAATGATTTCTTATAATACTAAGCATGTATGGCACAGGCTAGCGAGGAAGAGATGTATACAGGATGTCTTCTATCACTGGGTAATTCAACGTGAGAGAAGTTGTATGCAGTGCATATATACAAAACGTTTGTCTAGAAAAGCCAGGGAATTCAAATTCAAGTCTTTAAAAAAAAACAAAACACCTTAGTTTATGAATGTGGGATATTGTGCTCCTCTGTTCATGATTCAAAATGCCAGGAAATTGCCCGCTCCGCCAGGGTGCTGCGCTGCTGTGATGGGGATGCATTGCCTTCCCGCTTGGAAAGTAGCATCAAAGGCTCCATCTCTCCAGCTCAGCCTCTTTGTTGGTTTGAATCTGAAATCCCTCCTGCCCACCCTTAGATTAAAAGTGAGATTAGCTGGTTGCCTCTGGAGCCAGATGGGAATTTTTGGCCTACATCCTGTTTTGGCCTATGGTTGCTGGTGCGTTTTCGCCCGTCTGTCCACTACTGGGTGTGGCGTTATAAATGTCCTTGTAAATACTGTTTAGTTAAAGTCGTTACCAGTCACAGCTTTGGGTAGTGCAATGAAAAATGTAGGGGTGAATTCATGGTTGGCACAGGGTGCCAAAAATTAGGACATCCCGCTGGCAGGTCGAGCCTATCAGCTTTCAGAGGAGAGGTGTCTCACAGGAAAGGACCTCCCTACCAGATGCCCATTCAGGGTCATGAGGCTCGGTGGGATGAGCTGATTAGGGGGTACCATTTCACTCAGCAACTGAAGGTGTGCTGTTCAGTGGACAGCACGATTCAGTAATAGGAGCTTGCCCTGCTCTAGGAAGCATCTGGAGATCTAATATTATCTGGACATAAAATAATATTGCACTATGGTAGGGCCCCCTTGTACAGTGGTGCCTCGCATAGCGAACGCTTCGCTATGCAATGAAACCGCATAACGAAGAGTCCCAGGCCATCGCTGGAGCGTTCGCTCAGCGATGGCCCCTATGGGCTTTTTTCGCTATGCGATGATCGCGCGGACGCGATCAAAGCATAGCGAACAGCTGATCGGCGGTTCCAAAATGGCCGCCGCTAAAACAAAATGGTGACCGCTGTTTTGCCTCGCTAACGAGGCATCCAAAATGGCCGCCGCAATGGAGGAAACTCGCACAACGGTGAGTTTTAAGTCCATAGGAACGTATTAAATCAGTTTTAATACGTTCCTATGGACTTTTTTGTTTCACTTAGCGATCGATTAGCTGAGCGAGGGTTAATCCGGAACGGATTAACCTCGCTAAGCGAGGCACCACTGTATTTTGGAAGGATGCAATTTAAATAGTTAATAAAGTTGTGGCCAAAGTTTTTAACCCAACCTACTGTGTCTCGCCTCCTTATTTCCAGGCTGGGAGGGCAAGGCCTGATATGGCTATGCCATGTCACACATGTGTTACCAGCAGGAAAAAGGATGTCAAACTTTACGTAGCAAAGGGCAATCGGAATAGTGATGGAACCAATATCTGTGGTCAAGATGGCCTACAAGAGGTCCTCTCGTGCTCAGTCTCATTCGCCAAGAGACACCAAGTATATTTTCAGGAACTCAACAGAAAATATGAAGGTTTATCAATTTGTAATATCCAGAAAGAGATGACACTAGGAGTGATGGCTGTAGTTAACCAATGATATGGGCTGCCCATTGACTCTCCTTCAGCATCAAATATTGTAATTAGATGAGGAGGTTACTTTCCCTTCTTATATTTTTTTCAATTAATTCTAGTATATAAATACTTATACTGTACTTTCTAGAGTTAATTCAGAATAATGCACTAGGGCTACCATGTATAACACCTCAAGCTTTTTTTCCCCCTCTTTCCAGACACGGATGCTTGCTTTTCATGTCCACCTGACCACTACCCGAATGAAGAGCAGAACCTCTGCATTCCAAAGAAAATAAATTTCTTGTCTTATGAAGAACCCTTGGGGGTCACTTTGGCCATTCTCGCTTCCTCCTTTTCTGTCCTCACAGCTGTGGTTCTTGGAATCTTCGTTAAGTACAAGGACACGCCCATCGTCAAAGCCAACAACCGAAGCCTCACCTATCTCCTCCTCTTCTCCCTTATGCTGTCTTTCAGCAGTGTTTTGATATTCATCGGACAGCCCAAGAGAGTAACATGTGTCCTACGGCATATTATTTTTGCTATTGCTTTCTGTCTGGCAGTTTCCTGCATTTTAACAAAGACTATCATTGTGGTTTTCGCTTTCAAGGCCACAAAACCTGGCTCCAAGATGAGGAAATGGGTGGGGAGAAGACTGGCCATTTCTGTTGTCCTTTCCTGCCTGCTGATCGAAACCACTTTTTGTTCTGCGTGGCTGGCAAGCTCTCCCCCATTTCCAGATCTGGACATGCACTCAATGCTTAAAGTAATTGTACTCCACTGTAATGCAGGATCGAAAACAATGTTTCACTGTGTCTTTATCTTTTTGATTTTCCTCACCCTTGTCAACTTCACTGTGGCTTTCCTAGCCCGGAGGTTACCTGATAGTTTCAATGAAACGAAGTTCATCACCTTCAGCATGTTGCTCACCTGTAGTGCTCATGGGTCTTGTTTTCTAGTCTACCTGAGCAGTAAGGGAAAATATACTGTAGCATTGGAAGTATTCTCTATCTTGATCTCCAGTGCCGCCTTACTGATTTGTATCTTTTCCCCCAAATGCTACATCATAGTGTTGAGGCCTCAACTGAACAGCAGAGAACACCTAAAAAGAAAAAAATGAAGATACTAACAAAGGATGATCCTGCCCTAATTAAGAAAGTAATGAAGTGGATGAAGCGGGGCTAGGAAGCCAGGGCAGCTGTGGAACAGCTATGTGCCTGAAGAGCCAAACCAACAATCCATGCTCATATCTAATGCATATGTATTCCTTTCTTTCCACTTCAGAATTAAATCTGGCCATCCTATTTTGGCCTAGACATCCTACAAAGTGGTTCAGATATGGGATAATCATGTTAATGTTCATGATTTCAGTTTCTTTCACTTTATGGGTTTTTTTGTGGGTGTGTCTACTTAACCTTCCTTCCTCCCTCCCTTCTAGTTACTACTATAGTTGAGTTATTTTTAATGCATAACGAGTAGACATTGTCTAGAGGGGCGGGGTAAAAATGAATAAATAAATGAATAGATAAATGAATAAATAAATAATTTTATTGTGTTTTTAATTTTATTTTTTAACACTGCAAGCTACCTTCAGTCCTCTTATTGGGAGAAAGGTGAACTATAAATGGGACAAATAAACATGCTTAGTTATCCCTGTCTGTCCTCATATGGCTTGGTTTCTAGGCCCCTGGTCATCTTTGTTGCCCTCCTCTGAATCTCCTTCAGTTTGTTTGTTTCTTTCTTAGAGTGTGGAGTCCAGACGTACACATAGATGTGGCCTAACAAATGCTAGATAGACGAGAATGGATATCTATCTATCTATCTATCTCTCTATCTATCTATCTATCTATCTCTCTATCTATCTATCTATCTATCTCTCTATCTATCTATCTATCTATCTCTCTATCTATCTATCTATCTATCTCTCTATCTATCTATCTATCTATCTCTCTATCTATCTATCTATCTATCTCTCTATCTATCTATCTATCTATCTCTCTATCTATCTATCTATCTATCTCTCTATCTATCTATCTATCTATCTCTCTATCTATCTATCTATCTATCTCTCTATCTATCTATCTATCTATCTCTCTATCTATCTATCTATCTATCTCTCTATCTATCTATCTATCTATCTCTCTATCTATCTATCTATCTATCTCTCTATCTATCTATCTATCTATCTCTCTATCTATCTATCTATCTATCTCTCTATCTATCTATCTATCTATCTCTCTATCTATCTATCTATCTATCTCTCTATCTATCTATCTATCTATCTCTCTATCTATCTATCTATCTATCTCTCTATCTATCTATCTATCTATCTCTCTATCTATCTATCTATCTATCTCTCTATCTATCTATCTATCTATCTCTCTATCTATCTATCTATCTATCTCTCTATCTATCTATCTATCTATCTCTCTATCTATCTATCTATCTATCTCTCTATCTATCTATCTATCTATCTCTCTATCTATCTATCTATCTATCTCTCTATCTATCTATCTATCTATCTCTCTATCTATCTATCTATCTATCTCTCTATCTATCTATCTATCTATCTCTCTATCTATCTATCTATCTATCTCTCTATCTATCTATCTATCTATCTCTCTATCTATCTATCTATCTATCTCTCTATCTATCTATCTATCTATCTATCTATCTATCTATCTTTTTCAAAATCCCAAGATAATTATTTAATCGAAGTATCCTCTTGCATTCATCCATACATTTTCTGTTCTATTCAAAATAGAGATGGTTAGGAATTGAACCACAAGCCAGAAAAACACACAAACTGGGCTGGTTCATGATTCAGTTTGTGGGTCTGTTCTGGGATCACATTTAGCTGAAAGGAAATGAAGCAACAACCACCCCACCCCCTTGTGTCTCATTTAGCTTTGGCAAAACAGGATGCCCACCCCTTGCCCTGCCCTGTCCCCTTCTTACTGAGTTTTGAAGCTGCCACCACCACCACTACCACCATCTTGAGAGCCAGGCCTGCTGCTTCGACACAGGTGCCCGCCACTCAGCTGACAGGCGGGCACCTGCGCAGAAGCAGCAGGAGGAACCAGACCTCCAAGGAGCTGGATCTGCTTCTTCTGCTCAGGCACCCACCTGTCAGCCGAGCAAGGGGCGCATGTGCATCCACGCCCGCCACCCCCACTGTGACAGGAACAGGTATAGGCACCTCCTTTGCAAACTGGTTTGGTTTTCTGGTTGGTTTGTGGTGGCTTGTGGTTCATGGCTAGCCACCAACCATCACGAACCACCATCGTGCCCATCTCTAATTTCAAATGATCCATACCTCCTATTCACAAAGGGCTTGGTCTAGATTTTATCACGCATAGGGTCAACATTTTACTCACACTGAGCATAATATCTTCAAATGGGGATAGGGGAAAAGATCTTTGCGATTTCTGTGGTATGAATGGGTCCCTCAGACATTTTGGATTAGAAACTCTCTCAACATCACTGAGCATTGCCAGTGGACAGGAATATCACATCTGCGAACAGGCTTTAAAATACTGTATCTGAAAGAGAGCGTTCACTTCCTCTTGTTTATGCCATGTGCAAGAGGTTCACACCCTTCAAGCAAGTGCCTCTTTCCTGATAGTTGGTCTTCCTAAGGAAACTTTTTCTCCCCAGAGGACTTTTGACCTTTCTGTCCTGACTTTTGCAATAAGGAGAATTATGATGTGATCAACATGTTTCCTACTGCAGTGCCACATAGAACCTTTAATTGTAAGTTGATGAATAATAACCCCACTATTATCAAATTAACTGTGATTGCTTCTAATCTTCTGATCTGAAGAAAAGTGCAGGACACACCACCAAACTTATGAAAGGAGATAAAAGGGTGCTATTAATATCTTTTCTGTCATTGAGAGATGGAGATTGGGGCCATCTGCTCCTTGGTAGTTTTAACAAGAAGACTTGATCCACTTTTGAGCATTCAAATTAGAGCATCTTAGCAACACTCAACTCATTGGCAAAATGATCTGGGATGAGGATAATTCAAGTGCTGAAGGATGTTTTTCTTGCAAAATAATGGGATTCGGAGTACTGGTGCTCTTACCACAGGCAGTGTGCAAGATCCCTAGTGCTAAATGCAACCTCAACAATCCTCTTCCTATTCTTCATAAATATTACCAGTCAGGAGATGTTATCATAGGTGGCATTATGTCCCAGATCTACACATTCTCAAGTTCAATAACCTTCAAACAGCGGCCCTGTATTGACTTCTTTGATGACCATCTGTACGCATCTCTCTTTTTTTGAAAACACGCACTATAAAATACATGTATAGCTTCTTCTTGCAGACATATACTGCATCTCTCATGGATTGTTTTCAGAGGATGAGTGGAGAATGTATTCTGCATTTTTCTTTGCCAAATTGCTTCCTACACCTAACAATGCTTGCTCCTAACAATATCTTTTCCTTCTCTTCTTTTTCGTTTTAGATATTCTAAGCAATGACACAGTATTCATATATTTTTTCTTTTTCTTTTTAAAAACTTTGTGTAAAGATAATGTGATTGCAAGAAAGAGACAGGTTGTCCAATCAGGACATGAGATGTGATGAAGGAATGAACTCTTTTTTTCAGGGTGATAACTCAGCTTTACCAGCATATCCTGGCCTTCGTGTTTGCTGTAAAGGAGATAAATGGAAATCCCAAGCTTCTCCCCAATATTACCCTGGGTTTCCAGATATACAACAGCCTTTTCACCCCAAGTGGGACCTACGATGCCTCTTTGGAACTTATCTCTGCACAGGGCAGGTTCATACCTAATTACAAGTGTGCCGTGCAGAACAACCCAATAGCAGTCACTGGCGGATCTAATTTGGATATCTGTCTCCACATGTCAAACATCCTGTGCATCTACAAGATTCCACAGGTAGGAGATGTAAAAAAGAATGGGCAACATACTCTCCTATGTGGTGGGTATGTGAAGAGAGACAGAAGACACGGACCATTATATTGAATGAGATTAAAGAAATTCTATGGAACAGATATACAAAGATGCCCAAGGTCAGGATTGTTAAATATATTTGGAAATGTCAATTAGATCAGGGGGAAATGGAAATAATTGTTATGTTAACAGCAGCTAGATTGATATTTGCAAGGACTCAGAAAAGTAAGAAGCAATTGATGTTGCAAGAATGGCATAATGAGATGTGGAATCTCCTTGTTAACGATAAAGTAACTTGTGAATTGAAAGTTAGAAAAGGATTATTGGAGAAAAATAGTTTTATTGGGATTTGGAATCCTTCCATAGAATACGTATTTACAAAACATAAAGGATATACCCCAATACAAGAATCATATCTTTTGAAAGAAACGGGGCACACAATATAAAGTAAGATGAAACATATTGTTGAGAATATGTATATATATTCTGGGGAACATAAATATATACAATTATATTCCCAAAGTTAGTAGGTTACACTGTATATTTGAGCTGTGATTTTATTTCTCATTTATGTTTTTGTTATATTTTGTTATATTAATTTTTTAAAAAAGATTCCACAGGTATGGAGTTTGCTTGAAGCCTGAGAGTTTAACCAATGATTTGTATAGCTCCGTCTTTGTTGTGGTATGGAGATGGAAAATATTGTGATGGGAATAGAGAGGGACATTTTGTTAGCATAGATCTGTAAGATCAAATTCGTATAAAGAAAAAAAAATGACAAATCGTCACGTTTCAAAAAAATTATTTCGTGGGTATTCTTTTGCATGACTAACAATATAAGGAAGGAGCAATGTTTTAGTGGGGCAGCCCACAGTCTTACAAACTGTAACTTGAGTTACAGGACAGTTCGTATGTTCAGAAAAACAAAAGGCAGAATCATAGAAATCAAGCCATGAGAGAATGTCATGCACTTGCAACTAACCAGAGATTGAGAGGTTTTAAACATGTGCATAATCACCTCCATCCATCCACTCCTTGGGAATTCCATCACTCTTACAGAAACTGGACATCTTTGGGGTTTTTTTAAAAACCAATTCAATACAAACTTTGACCTAGATTCGATGAGTTTGATAACAGGAGAGAACCCAGCTCATGCAAGCAAAACTGAACTGCTTCCATCTGCCAGCACCAAGTAGTAAAGCCTAGCGTAGTAATAATAATCATGTGTCATCAAGACATTTTGGAATTCTGGTGTCCTGGGACTGTGCAGCTTGCCCAAGGCCACATAGGCTGGTTCTGCTTGCAAGTATCAAACTTCCTACCTCTGGCTCTACAGCCAGATACCTAAAGCACCAAGCTATCCAACCAGCTTGAAATCCTGGATGTTGGGAAACAAGTATTGCATTTTAATTTTTTTTTAATGGTCTTGTCTCACCGTTTTCTTCTATTTGTTTAGCTGTTCTATGGATCTCCTCCGGTGACAGATACAGGGACTCCGGTGTGTTTCTCCTACAAGATGGTCCCAAGTGCAGATGATCAGTTCAAGGGCATTCTCCAATTACTGTTGCATTTCAGATGGACTTGGATTGGGGTGGCAATAACGAACCATGACAGGAGAGAACACTTCATACGTAACGTAGTCCCCATGTTTGCCCAAAAGGGGATTTGCCTTGATTTCATAGCAAGAGCCCCAATGGTTACTTATTCCGAAGGTATCAACGAGATGGTGCAAGAGGGGATCAACACCTACCATGCCATAATGAGAAGCACTGTTAATGTTGTGGTAGTTCTGGGTGAAATAGAGACTATGATACTTCTAAACATGTTCCCAATCGTGTCAGACAATACGCATATGTCAATGGGGACTAAAGGTAAAGTGTGGATCCTGACCGCTCAGATGGATTTCACATCGCTGTCCTTCCAGAGAAATTGGGGCGTAGATTTCCTACATGGTGCTCTGTCATTGGCCGTTCGATCCAAGGAAGTCTTGGGATTTCGTAGCTTTCTGCAGACCAGGAGTCCCCTCTTGGAAAAAGAAGATGGCTTTATCAAGGATTTCTGGCAAGAGGCTTTTAACTGTTCCTTCCCTGATCCCGCCATAGCTGTGGTGGGCGAGGAGACATGCACTGGAGAGGAGAAGCTAGAGACTCTTCCTACCTCTGTTTTTGAAATGAGCATGACCGGTCACAGCTACAGCATCTACACAGCCATCTATGCTGTCGCACAGGCTCTGCATAAGATGCAGACATCTAAATTCAAACACAAAACAATAGTGGAGGAAGGAATGCTGGAGCTTCAGTCTCAAGATCCATGGAAGGTAATTCTCTGACAGTGCAACCAAAAATGATAGGGGATTCTTTGTTTATGAGGACATAAAGAGAATCTATTGTTGTTTAGTTGTTAAGTCATGTCCGACTCTTTGTGACCCCATGGGCCAGAGCATTTTCAGGCACTCCTGTCTTCCACCGCCTCCCGGAGTTGGGTCAAATTCATGTTGGTCACTTCGATGACCCTCTCCAACCATCTCGTCCTCTGTCGTCCCCTTCTCCTCCTGCCTTCACACTTTCCTAACATCAGGGTCTTTTCCAGGGAGTCTTCTCATGAAGAACATTTGCTCTTTCCTTGTGGAGTCTCCCACTGGTTTTCTGAGATGGGAGAAGAAATATCTCTCATTTTCATCAATGTTTTCCATATGGTTTAAGGCTGGTTTAAGACATATTTGTTCATATGCCTGATTTTTTTAACTGCATCCCTTCATGAGTATTTTTGCCAATGAGCATCAATTTAGAAGATAATATTTTAGGTATCCAAGACTCCCCACCACCACCACCAGCAGCAGCCCTTCTTCCCTGATTGTCAGAGCTTCGGCCATAGGGGTGGCTTCTCAAATTTTGTAGCCAACCAGATCTCTTAAGGTAGTATGGCTGATTACTGGATTTCAGCCAGTGGATTTGCTTTAGTAGAGACTAGTGACTAGATTCAGTTGTACTATGCATCATAATAAGGTATTCTATTCATTGCATTTCTTTGGGTTACAAGGTCTGATGGTCACTGGGAGGGCTGGTGATTCTAGAAGGTTAATTTAAAGAACTGAGTCTGGGTGCTAGTAGTATAAAGGCTGCATGTTTTCTTTAGAGGAACTGGGGGGGGAAAGCATATGAAAGTGTGACATCAACATTGCTTTCTTTTAAAACATCAATATTGCTTTCTTTTATTTTTCCCATTCAGCTCCACCTATTTCTGAAAAGCATCTCATTTAACAGCACCGCTGGCGAACAGGTTTCCTTCAATCCAAATGGAGAATTAGAAACTGGATTTGACATAATCAACTGGATCACGTTCCCAAACCAGTCCTGTTTTCGAGTGAGAGTTGGAAGGATAGACCCTATGGCTCCCCAAGGAGAAATGTTCACTATTTTTGAAGATGCTATTTTGTGGCCAAGCAGTTTTAACCAGGTAGGGTCCAGCACACCTTTCAGAAGTACCAGAGTCCTTTCGACACCATTGAACAAGTGAACAGTTTCTATCTCTAGTTATCTTCAGGGATGACTCCACGAAGACATCAAAGGAATGGAGGGTGGAGCCACACCCTGTTGGACCACCTCCCATTATTGCTAAGCTTATGTTCAGAGCTTGAATTTTTTTAGAAATATATATACAGTGGTGCCCAGCTTGACGACGATAATGCATTCAGTTAAAATCGCTGTATAGCGAAATCGTCATGCGAAAATAAAAACCCCATTGGAATGCATTGAAAAACGGTTAATGCATCCAATGGGGGAAATACCTGCTTGTGCAGCGAAGATCCTCCATAGGGCAGCCATTTTGCGATACCTGTCTTACGGAAATAGGTCTGGAAAACAGCGGGGAGCCATTTTGCGAACCGCCGATTAGCTGTTTTAAATCGTCGTCTTGCGAACAATCGGTTTGTGAAGCAGGGAGCTAATCATTGTTAAACGAAAAAAACATAGGAAACATCATTTTGCTATAGCGATCGCAAAAAAGGCATCATCAACCAATTTCGTCGTTTAACAGGGTAAGCGTCTAGCGGGGCACCACTGTATTGAGTTACATTTAAGTAGTTACTCTGTGCATGTTGAACCCTAACAACGAGACACGTTTAGAAACAAGAAGCTGGCAATGCTTATATCTAGCTTTGTGTTTACAGGCACTTCTCTCCAGACATCCTATTTAATCTGTTATTGTCATGTTGGTTGGGAGCCAGCAGATCAATATACTTGCTGATTTGCACGTGTCATCTATCATCTAGGTGACACCCACTGCAGTCATTGTGTTTAACTCACATTTTTTAACCGAGCAAACTGAAACTATATCGGAGTTTTGACTTTTTGTAACGTACCCATTAATAAGCCTCATTAAATTAAACAAGAGAGAATGGGATGGGGGTGACAGAGACATTGCATCAAAAGGGGTGAGAAATAATGGCCAAAATCCTGTGCGGGGGAACATCTGTCTTCGCATCATTGAGATCATTCTTACTGACAGATTGGTGCTGATTAAAGCCTTCCTTTTTCCATTTCAATTGGCTGCCTTCAATGGGAATGCAAAGTGAATTGTTCTCTTTTGTTTATGGACAGACACGCCCTCGTTCTCTTTGTAATCCCCGGTGCCATTTGGGTTCCAGAAAGGCCAAGAAGGAAGGGAAGCCATTTTGCTGCTATGATTGCCGTCCGTGCTCCAAAGGGAAGATTTCTACTCAGATGGGTAAGTGAAGATTAGTTTATCCAAAATCTGAATACAGTGGTGCCTCGCTTAACAAGCGCACCGCATAACGACGAAATCGCATAGCGATCCGTTTTTTCGGATCGCTAATGCGATCGCTTAACGTTTTTCTAATAGGGCACTATTCACTTTGCGAAGACCGGTAAGCGTTTCACGATTAGTTTATCCAAAATCTGAATATATGGAGCTTATCAAATATCCTAGCATTAGACAATATATAGACATGTATGTCCCTTAATCTTTTTCCAAAAAAAAAAAAAAATGGCTACACTATAAAGTAGCCATTCTTGGCAGCTGAACTGAATCAACATGCATGTTTAAATAGGTACAGTGATGCCTCGCATAGCGAGATTAATCCGTTCCGGATTAACCTTCGCTATGCTGAAGCATCGTTGAACGGGGCAGGGATTTCCATTGGAATGCATTATACATGGTTTAATGCGTTCCAAATGGGCCAAATACTCACTGTTCAGCGAAGCTTCTTAATGGCCGGCAGCCATTTTCGTGCCCTTGCCTCGCTTAACGAGGGCGTGAAAACGCTGCGCGCGGCCATTTTGGGCCATCTCCGGGCTTCCCCCGTTCAACGATGCTTCAGCATAGCGAAGGTTAATCCAGAACGGATTAACCTCGCTATGCGAGGCACCACTGTATATGGAGTTTATCAAATATCTTAGCATTAGACAATACATAGACATGTATGTCCCTTAATCTTTTTCAAAAAAAAAATGGCTACACTATAAAGTAGCCATTCTTGGCAGCTGAACTGAATCAACATGCATGTTTAAATAGGTACAGTGATGCCTCGCATAGCGAGGTTAATCCGTTCCGGATTAACCTTCGCTATGCTGAAGCATCATTGAACGGGGCCGGGATTTCCATT